CTCTTGACCTGTCCAGTGGGGGGAACCCCTGGTTTTAGTGGATTGTGGCACTCTACAAATGTTAGCAACCTTGGTAGATTGATCTCCACTGAGGAATTATCTACTAGATAACCTTTAGTTCAGTAATTTTTTTCATTTATTTATTTCATTTGATTCGCAACAGCGGGTAACTCACTAATTACAGGATGGACGATCCTTTATAAAGCAAGTCTTGTTATGAGGCCTAAGGAGTTTTTAGTGGTGAAAAAAGTCCTGCTGTCAAAGGAATACAGGGAAATGGCGAACAGACGTCGACAATCGTATTGGGTATAAAATCATAATAAACCGTTGAAGGCGCTAATTTCCTATCCTCTTCTCAATGTTTTTGCTGTGATACCCATGATTCTTGCTGTATTTGTAATTTCAAATGGAACTTAAACTTTAAAAAATCACTAGTAGATATTCCAAAATTTACTCCGCTCACTATGAGCAATTGGATATCTAAAGGAGTAAAAGAGACGGATGGGAAATCGTGGACTTCCTTTAAGGAGAAATATAATTTATCAGTTTTTGGACTATAGTTCAGACGGCTTAAGTGAAATATCGTCCGATATTTTGTGTACAAGTTGACCTAGCACTTGGTTGGCTGGTAGGTGACACAATTTATGGTTTTAATTAAATACAAATTTAACTAAAATGTGTTCAAATCTGCCTATACAATATAAAATGTTACAGGGCATTGTAAAAATTGCCATGCTACTGTTTTAAATGTGTTTAAAACGTTCGTTTACTTGCCCTTTTCAACACACCTCATACACAATAACATAGCGAGTTTCGATTTGTTTATCATTCCATACCCAACTTGCCAAATTTCAGTGACGTCATCTCGGTTCGCCATTTCCCTCTATTAAACCTAGGACCTTGGGATTAGAAAGCAAGCATCTAAGCTATACAAGTCCTCTCCAAAATATATATACCGTACGACTATTTGAATGATATACAGTAATAAATGATGTCGAAATGCCAATTCAAATGCAACTGTGAAGAATGTATCATTCAATATAGTATATTTATGCGGAGATATATGATCTGTTTCTTTTGTAGGAGCTGATGATCCAGAACGCAATTCCCTTCTGAATTCCTTACTCGCCAAGAAAAGATGTCTCTCATCGACAAGTGATCAAGTAATTCAGAGTGGGTGTGTTATTTGCAAAGGTGACCTGTTTATCAAAAACAATATCACTGGTAAAAAATTTCAAGAGAGGTTAGTGAGTTGTGAGAAATTAGGTTTTGAGATTTTAGTTGAAGCAGCCATTTTAAAGCAAGATAAGGTGCTTTTGAAAACTTTAAGAGGTGGAAATTCTGATGTTGTAAAAGAAAAGTGCCATAAATTGTGCCATTTGAGGTACACTAAAATTGTGAAGGCTTCAAAAAAGGTTAGTAAAGTCACATCACAGCAGGAACACTTATATGTTGCAGCTTACATTCATTTCTGCAAGAAGTTTATTGAGGAACGAATCATCAGAAAGAAAGAAATTTTACGACTTGGTGAATTGAACAAGTCTTTCATCAAAGAAGTATCTGATATGGAAGGAAAGGATGCATCATGCCACACTACTTCACAACTTAAAGACAGATTGAGGATATCATACCCAGTTCTTTGTTTCTCACAACCGACTGAAATAGTCAGAAGTGAATTTGTTTATACTGAAACGCTCTCTACTGAAGAGGTGATGGATAATAATGATGAGGAACTTGATGGCACAAAGAATTACAGTGATGGACAGTCTCCTGTTATACCCACCCAAGACCAAAATCCTTTTGCAATTGTAGATCAGAAACAGGAATTACTGCTTGTTCCTCTGAATGAATGCGTTCTATGTAGACGCAGGCGATCAGAGACGGATAGAAGAACAGGTGTGCAACGTCTTGAAAAATTAGGAGCCTGTGTGAAAGGAGGTGCAGAGAAAATAGTCAAAGCTGCCATTTTGAGGCAAGATGAGGTGGTTTTGAAGATTTTAGGAGATAAAAGGTCAACTGATTTTCAGGTTAAATGCCACAGAACTTGCTATAAGAGGTACACCAATATCCTTTCTAGAGGATGTAAGAATAAAGACCCAGTTGAGCAGCAGCAGTTATATGTTGTGTCTTACACTAATTTCTGCAGAAAGTTTATTGAGGAACGAATTATAAAAAAGAAAGAGATTTTAAGACTAAGTGAAATGAACAAATCATTCATCAAAGAAGTATCTGATGTCGAAGGAAAGGATGCATCAGCCCTCACCACTGCACAACTTAAAGCCAGAATGATAATGTCATACCCAGTCCTGTGTTTCATACAACCATCAAAAATAATAAAAACTGAATTTGTTTTTACGGAATGTCTTTCTTTGGAAAACTTTGTAAAGAAGAATGTTGAGATTGCCACGAAACAGGACACAGAACAATCCTCTTCATCCATTCAAACACCATCCAAGGCCCGTGATGATATGGAGGATAGGTTTGAAGATGCTGATGGATCAGATGACAGCATGAATCAACCTCTCTCCACAACCATTCTAGATCAAGAGTCGCCTTGTTCACTTCCTGTTGACATGTATCATGCAGCATTGGGCCTCAGGGCTATTATGGATATACCAACTAACCCAGATGTCATGACCTTTGACGATGAAACAGTACCAGCTAGATTGTTCAATTTCTTAGCATGGATTACTAATTTGAGCGAAGACCAACCAGAAAGAGGGACAGTCAATCTCCCAGAACATTTTAAAATAAGTGTATTTTCTTTGGCTCAGGACATTATGTATCTTAAATCACGTTCAAAATCACTTAAGTCGTAATAGTACAGTACAATGTATGTGCGTTCACTGTTTAATATTGTACAGTACAATACTTTTTTATCACTTCATTTTTAATAAGCAATCCAGTTTATTTCTGGCTAACATTCCCATAATTAAGATTAAAATATATAATTCTGAATTAGTTAACATTTCTTTTTATTATAATATTCAATTATTATATAGAAAAGGCTAAATTTATATTAAAGAGGAGGGCAGTTTAAAGAGATAGAAATACAGTGGTGCTCGCAAGTATATTACTGTACTACTAAGCCTATAATTGTTGGTGCCTATTAGTATTTTTAATATTTTTATTTTATTTTAATATATATATTTTAGTATTAAAACTATTAGTCCTAAGAGCCATGGTACAGTATTACTAGGCAATCAACAGAGAGAATCGCAGACCTGTCTCCAATCCAAGCTGCTTAAAACATTGTTAAAATACTGTATATTATTACCATATTCGGTATAAATTATTTAATTGACAATTTTTTTTTATTGTGACATAATTATTAATGTGCATTCTTCAATTTTTTTTTTCTTATTTCGACTTTTATTGCTTCATTTTAAAAATAAATCATACAAGGGCACATTCAAAGAAATGTTTTTTTGTTTTTTTGTTTACAATGCAACATAATAAATACATTATAATAATAAATGACAGGTGAATTCTTCAATTTAGTATTCAATTTATTAGAAGTGACGGCTATGTCTGTAGCATAGCATTGATATTGAACATTAGCTTGAATTCATTCTTTTATTTTTTTTCATTCATTTTCCAGTTGAAGGCTGAATCTTTAGCCAGTAATCTTTGCTTGCCCTGAAATGAAATCAGAAATAAAACCCTTTTTAATAATAAAAATAAGCAAAAAATGGAGGAAAATGTATCAATTTGATCAAGTGAATATACTTGAAAGGAATCTAATCTACTGTGTGTATACAGTTTCATATGCTCTTATGTCAAAATTATCATTAAGGCCCATGGTTTTTTAGTTTATTTGAATCGCATATTTTTGTATTCCAAACTACTGTAGTTGTTTGTAGTTTAGTGGTAAGTGATAGTAAAATCTATTTTTTTGTTTGGGATCATTGAGGATATATTAATGATAAAAACTGACAGCTCACACTACTTTACTTTTAGCCTACCTTTTATTTTGGGATTCTACGTGACTTTTTGCTAGACCACTTCCCCAAACACTGCTCTTCTCTTTGCCAGGAGGCCTAAATCCTCGCTCTGGTGCCAACTAAGTAGTAAACATAAAATTAAAATAACATTTTTAAATGGAAACTATGAACACCAGAGTGTGAATTTAATCTTACAAATTATATTAAGAACTTGCTTTTTTTCAAAATGTTGTATAGTGCCAAGGTCCCAAGTTACCCATGAGTTTTTTGAAAATCAAATTGTCCAACTCCATAAGCAGGTAAAAATCTCTTGGAGACTTGCCATGGCTACAACAAATTCAGTGTGTTTGCACATTTTTGCTATTTCATGCTACTTGTCTTCCATAAAATCTACCCATGGGTATCATGTGCAGCAAAATACATTATTAAATCAAATCTCCAGGAAGTACTGTAGCTCCTGCCTCCTCATGAACCCCTGGTGGCCTTACCTCCTCTGCAATTGCCCTAATTAGGTGTGGTTCAAATCCGCAACAACCGCCGATATAGCGAACACCAAGTTCATAAGCCTTCCGTGCATACTGATGAGCTTCTATACGGTTAAGTGCTCTGGTTTCTAATGCTAAAAAAAAAATATTAATATTTCGCATTGTTAAACATATATAGTTCCTTTCTAAACTCCTTTTATTCGTTTGCTCTTCCTGTCTTTTCATTTAATTGATCTTTATTTTCCTTCTATTTCTTTTCATGTCTTTTCATTCTAACTTTACATTCTCCTTTTTCTTTTCTTATCTTTTTCTTTCCCTGTTGACAATGATGACATACAGTATTACTTACTTTTATATTGTACAATTTGGGGAAACCTAAAGAATTTGAAAAAGAATTGCTTTTAATTGTTCATAAAAATTTTTGTTATTAACTTAAATATATAAAATTTATTAAATTTGGTTTTGTACGTCATTACAGGTGGTAGGGTATACTTTGAATACAAACTTGTTTTTCAAGGCCATGCTCTTATTTTGTGATTTTTATGAATTCTGAAATTAATCAATGGTCATAAATTGAATTGAATGCTTGGTTAGTAGAAGTATGCATCATGTAATAAATATGCACTGAAGGTTAAAAATCAACAGTAAATGCTTTTGTTTGTTTATTTGTTAAAAGTTAAATGTGCTTTGTATTTATTTAAATTATTATTATATTGTTTAAACTTTAATTAAATCTGAAATTATATTTTATAGTTTTTACTTTTTTTGTGAAAGGGGTGGATGGAATGGGGGTTGAAATGGACCTTGTCCACTATTTGCATGTTTTTATACAGTATGTACTGCAATAATAAACAAATGGATCCCTATCTGGAGGCTACACTGTATCTACTGTAGGCTAGGTACACAATGCGTTGGCTGACTGTTGGTCAACAAATTTATCTTTGGTCTGTGTGAGTGCTTGAAGACAGTAAGATTTCAAATTAATTTTTGTAGTTCAGACAAGACTTCTTTTATACCTTGCCGCCCACCAATAATGATGATTTCAAATAAATAGTGCAACCAATAGTGCAACCGCCGCCATAAAAAATTAAAGTTTTTCTTCATTTTTATTATGCCAGCTGCTGCCTTAAGTGTACAAAAATGAGATACAGTAGGTATATTTCTTCCTAATTACATACAGTACATTTAAAGCATTTAAGCATCCCATTACTACACTGTTTACATTCAACAATAACAATTTATTTTCTCCTACGTCTGGATGTTTTGGCACAACCATTTGCTAAATAAGAAAACAAAATTCATTTTTATACTTTTCCCGCACTCCTCCTCTGATCTTTAAAAAAATAAGTTCGCGAAACAAGCGCGACAGTATAAAAAAGTCTCGCCTCCGTACCAAATGGAAATTCTGGAAGCTCAGTATAACCAATCCGGTTGTTTTCAAGCTCTTTGGTATGGTAGCCTAGAGGCTGGCTCATTAGGTATGGTTTAAGGCCAGCATTTTCCAGGCCTTCCTTCATCATGGCTAATGTCTTCAGTGCAATATCAGGACCAAATGAACAATTAACTCCAACTACATCTGCACCTGCAAATACAATAGTCAAGTTTAAAATTTTTTTTACTATTCACTCATTACAGGCCTATAGGCATTATTATATTGAAGATATAATTACATCGTGTTATGAAAAGATTGTTAGTAAAATTGAAAGTAACATTTATTCATCCAAAACGAATTACATCACTCTAATTTGCAGTATTATAATAATTGACTGAGGTGAGCTAAAGACTTTAAAAATTTCCTTATTTTATATTTTACATATTTTTTATTTATTTCAAAGCTTCCTTAAAGTCAGGCTCCGGAGGAAAAAAAAATTTTGATATGTTGTAGAACTGATTTTTCTAAGACAGAAAAAAGTTGTTTGACGAAAAACTGGGGAACGGTGAATGAGATACAGATTTTTGAATATTTAAAAACTGGGGGGGAAATTTTACACCTTTTTCCCCCAGTTTTTAAATATTCAAAAATCTGTATTCATTCAATGTTCTCCAGTTCTTCGTCAAATAAATTTTTTCTGTTTTAGAAAAATCAGATCTACATCATATCAAACATTTTTTTCCTCCGGAGTCTGACTTTAACACATTTAACTTTATTTTGCTGCACGTGGTGGGAAAAGTACTGTAGCACTAGTAAAAACATACAAATATTATGAATTTGTGGGAGATTCTTGCTTGCTTGGGGGAGACTCCCACTACTTCTAGGAGACTTGGGACCCCTGTGCTTGCTACCAACCACGATAAATAAAGTTTGTTAATTCCGATTGGTTTTAAACTTGGCAGAATGTAAGATGGTCATAAGAAGACAGAGCCTATTGGTTTTGGTACAAGTATGTGTATGAATATGCTAATTGCTCATTTGCATAATTAATATTTAATTAATTGGGTAAGGCAAAAAAAAAATTAAAATTTCATAAAAAAAAGTTTTTCTTCATTTTTATTATGCCCGTCATTGCCTTGAAATCTCTAAAAATAATATAAGTATATTTCTTCCTAATTACAGAATATAAATTTAAAGCATTTAACCATCCATCCCATTACTACACTCTTTATATTCTCTAATAAAATTTTATTTTTATTTTCTCCTCCGCCTGCTTGCTAAATAAGAAAGCAAAATTTTATTTTAATTTTTTTCCGCCCTAATGTGATGATCTTTAAAAAAATAAGTTAGCGAAACAAGGTATAAAAAAAAGTCTCGCAAGTCCGATGGTTTCAAACTTGGCAGAATTCATGGTAATAAGACAGAGCCTATTGTTTTTTGTATGTGTGTAAACAATTTAATTTGATTTTTATTTTAATATATGCCTTGGGTCGCCAAAGAGGGAGTCTGAATGTGGGTCGCCACCTGAAAAATTTGAGGGATTTACGTAAATAATTTTTAAGTTAATCTAATATTATTTTTGGCTTTCAGGTCTCTCAGAAGATGGGAGCGTGACAAGACAATAGATCATGCTTCCCCATGTCCTTTAAACTTATATGTAATTTATACAGTTCTCCTTTTCTATCTGCACCCCTCCTGCAAATTCTGGACCTGTCCCAGCACCCAACATCCTTGTGAATAATAATAATAATTTACATTTATAGTGTACTACTTAGTGTTCTCACCTGCTCTACACATTCTAACAGCACACTCCTGTGGTGTTACCTTATCTATGTCACCAAGTGTACAAATTTTCATGGATGCACAGGCTGTTAAACCAGTTTCCTTCATAATCTCAATGGCCCATTCCATCTCAATTATAGAGTTGAAAAACTAGAAATATTGAATTATGTAAATAAATGTATATAGATTAAACTTCATTATCATCATTTGTATGTTACTTCCATGACTTAAAGATATATTATCATTTTGAATTGCAAACAATTGAAAATGTTAATTCCAAATTTCAATTGCTTAATTTTAAGTAAGTTATTAACTTAAAATTAAACATATAAAAAAATAGAATAAAATAATAATTTTTGACTGATAGTACATTATAAATACATAAATATACAAATAATTAAACTTCCATATGCAACTTTAAATACATTATAGTATTAAAACAAGAGAGGTAATGATTTGGCATCAACATGCCTACTTTAGTACATTGCATTTGACTCCTAATACCTCAGCCAATAAGAAATCAACGTTGTTTTCTTTAAATACTTGACATTGTTTTCTGAATTCCTTCTGTACAGCTTCTTTTGAATTGATGTCTTTATAAATCACAGTCTCACAAATACTACCACAGATGAGAGTTTGTTCACCGGCCACTTCATGCACTAGGCTACATGCAGCATCGTTCAATTCTTTGCACTATAAGTAAATAATAAATTTGACTTTGTGGTGTCTTAAACTGCGAACAGTCCACTAATGAACTTAGATGATATTTTTCAGCGTATGTTCAGTGGTGACATGCCATACCAAGGGAGCTGGGGATCAATGCAGGGGTGGCGCCGACGAAAGCAAAGTGACCGTGGTCCAGGTTCGATTAAAAGGTTTCGAAAGTGGTCCAGGGGGGCGAAGCCCCCGAAAATTTAGAGATTTCAATTTATTTTCTCCCCAACAAATTGTGCTTTTTCTCCCCGAGGAGAACTTCTTGAATATATGAAAGTGTTGGAAAATTGCCTATCATTATAATGCAAAGGTGTTTATTTTAAAAGAAAAATAATACTTATTGAATGAACAAAATGTATACATTATCATAGAATTATCTTCAAACTACAATGAAATACAAATTAAATATTGTACACTTATTTATTCTGCTACAAAAATAACTATATTTTTAGCCAGGGATCATGAGGTTCATACAGTAGATAAGCAGGTTTTGATTGATTACAGTACTTGTTTTTGTGCTCAAAGTAAATTGACAATAGATGCATAGTACCTTAGGTACCAATCGCATCAAAATCTGACAATTCACACAGTACTTTAATAATTTTTTTAGATCTAACTTGCGGTCCAAATTTTGAAGCAGGCAATTCGTTTTTGGACCGCAGTCCAGGGGATGAGATTCAAGGAATTAGAGTGTGTAGTCAGGGAGATTTATTACATCCCCGATTACATCATCTTCCTGGTGTAATAAATGCATATAACATAAGTTTAATAATAATAATTTCAACTTACAGTGTATGCTATGTCAACACCCCTAAACTTGCTTTGAAGGGTACCATCCTGAGCAAAGAAAGTTGATGTTTGTAGCACATCGGCACCAGCCCACAAGTACTCTTTATGTAGTTGACGAACTGGTGAAAAATTAAGGTTAAAAATTACGAAGAAGGCAGAGGCCAGATATGAATAAAAATAGTAACTGCTGTATAGATTTATTCTAAATACAAGCATTTCCTTATTGTCGAGTTTTGTGTAATACCAACAGTGGCATAGCTTTTAAGCTATGCAGCCAGTGCAAAGCACTGGGGTAGGGCTGTAGAGATCCATTCATCAATAGGCCTATAGATAATAATTATAAATAATTTAATATTCTTGAAAAAAAAATGGCCAGTGTGCTCCTCAATTACAGGAGTAATTATTGATTACTAGATATGGCCGGAAATGGCACTTTTTTCTCTGACCAAGATTTGGTTAAAATCTTCCCTTTTCACCATTGTTTTTATAATTTTGATAAATTTTGGGGTGGAGGAGGCTGGCTTCCACTTAAATACGCCACTCAGGGGTTCCCTATCCCCAGAGGAAATTAACGATCTCAGCCCCACCCCCTCCCCCTCCAACCACTAGCCATTCAGGCCTACTACATACAGCAATGCTTCATCAAAGGGCCCGGCAATTAATCTTGCACTGGGGCCCGTTTTCACCTAGCTATGCCGCTGAACTCCACACTAACAGGTTATGACAGTTCAGTTTCTTATTGAATTGAATAAATAAAAATACGTATTACAGATTGACCCACAGAATCAAGGATTACCTTAACCATTGCACACGCGCCGCCTCTCCTGCTCAGCCAGCACCGTGCGGGAGGCCTGCTGCCTTCACTGCCATAAAGAAGGCTTGGGGATAGGCCCAGGCCTTACTTGGCTTTCGGGCAGGAATGCCAAGCCACGGTGTACGGTAAAAATGGCCCCGGTTATAATGTCCCCAAATGACAGGTAGGTAAAAATGGACAACAATAATAAAATTCTGTATTAAAACCGATTTAAAAAAAAAATCATTATATGCATTTTTTTTAACCTGAAATAATTTAGTTTAAAAAAAAAAAATCTAACATCAAATAAATAGACATTTATATTTTACTTTTTGCAGTAATTACATACACAAAGATAAAAAAAAGCCATGAATAACACTTATTTTTTTTTTTTTTTCATTTAAATGTTAAAAAATAGCAACAATTTAATCAATAAATCAACATAAATCGTGCATTTATTAATACTAAAATAATTTATTTGTGGCCAATTTCACAGAAGTGGAATCACAATTTTCTAGAAATTTTATCGGGGTATTGCTAAACCCCGCAAAAATGGGTTGATATGAACATCAAATTATTATTTTTTTTAAAAGAGAATAATAATAAATAACAGTCGCCCATACAAAAAATATCTATTAATCAATCAGCTAGAAACTAAGTTGTTTTATTTTTCAAATATGCATATGGTTTCTGTTGATTTATTAATTCAATTTTTGCTAAAGAGTATTTTACAGCATTTAAAAATTTCTTTTTTATTGAATTTTATAATTGGGGCCATTTTTTATTTATTGATCCAATACTTGCTATTTTATAGTATTTAAATATTTGAAGATTTAAAAAAAAAAGTCATTTCTATTAATGAATTTTTTTATTGGGGCCATTTTTACCTACTTGTCATTTTGGGCCATTTTGACCGGGGCCATTTTTGCCGGGGCCGTTTTTACCGGGGCCATTTTTCCTACATCCCCAAACCACACCATTTCTCACCCTCTCAAAAAAACTCACCAGCGTCAGGATTCTCAAGAACAACTTCAGGAGTCCAGGCGCCCGCTAACACATATCCTCTTCTCTCGAGTGTAAATATGTAACTACCATCTCCAATTACGATCCCTTCAGCAAGTCTTTGTAACAAACTTTTCTTCTTACTCATTGTTCTACACTGTAGTATTCATAAACAGTAAATCGTATGAGGTGCCAAGTGTAAATTTATTATTTAACACAATTATTTATATATAATTCATTACGTAACATATAATTAGATCACCCATTATTTATATATAATGCTTTTACATCTAAAAGATTATATGCAAATCATTGCGTTAACATTTTCATTATTTACATATAATTAGTATACTGATTTCATTATATATAAATAATAAAAGGGTAACCAAACATTATTTATATATAATAAGGTTACTGGTTTCATTATATATAAATAAGGAAAGGGTAACATGTATCATTACATCATATGTAAATAATGAAAAGTAACTTACAATTATTTATGTATAAGTTCACTGATTCCATTATATATAATTAATGAAAAGTTAACAAATCATTATGTATAAAATCAATGAAATGTAACTTACAATTATTTATATATTAAATTCACTGATTTTATTATATATAAATAATAGCTATCACAAAACCATTATATGTATATAATGCTTGGACTTCAAACTCATATGTATATAATGCACATGTGTTATCATGTCAAGGTCATTATATCTAAATAATGGTTTCTTACTGCCAATTATATATAAATAACCGTCGTGGTCGAGAGCCATTATATATAAATAATGATATCGTAGGAAGCCATGGTTTATAAATAATTTGTTTGCAAATTACAAAGTAATAAATATTCACCAGTGCAGTTAAGTTACAATTAGGGCCTATTGTGTGTGGTCTACAGGTAGCAGACTATCACCTATCGAAAATGGCACAGCAAGGGATACAGCAGATTATTAAATCAAGGACTTATAACTGTTACCAGGATAGGAAGCTGGAAGTTGGATTCACCACTGGGAATAACTGCTGGTGATAGGCATAATACCGAGGTTCATCAACACCCAACGTCTACGCCGAGGGTGAGTACTGTTTGTTAATGCACATTTTTAGAGGTAGGGCTTAAATATTATAATGTAGGTCACATGCACTATATCCATAGGCCTGTATACGAGCTGCAGGACATTGGGTGCTGATGAACCTCGGTAATATTATGCCATATCACCAGCAGCTGATCGGGACATTTCCCCAGACATTGCCCTGGACCCGGATACGGCACACTCAAATCAAGATTATAACAGACACGAAATTTTACATAAAAGATTTGTTTGTACAATATTTATTTTAATAGGCATTGTGGATAACTGCTTCAGTGCTGGGCTAGGCCGGGCCCTCTACTAGCGGAAGCAGGTCAACTCAGCCACAAGTCAATTCGGCCACAAGTCAACTCGGCCACAAATCAACTCGGCCACAAAAAGTTTGGCTACAGTCAACTCAGCCACAAGTTATTTATAATTAAAATGAAATGTAAATATTACTCAGTTTTTGCATCCTTTTTCTTTAATATGATTGAAATGAAGTACCAGTACACAGTATATTTTAGTAAAATTCTGATTATCGTTGTGAGATCGTTGTACGGTATTCATTTCTTCACACTGTACTCTTATTCAACAGAGAAAACCTGCCACTTACAGAATGGAATAAAATCTGACAATAATGTAACATTAACAATTTAAGCAATCTTAATAATTAAGAAAAACATATATATTAATGTTTAATTTTTTTCACATTAATACACTGACATAAAACATGAGTACACTGTAAACCTAATCATAAAAAATTGAAATAGAAAAACCACATTATGATTTTTTAAATGTTAAAAATTTATTTTGAATTCGACTAAATTCAAATGAATGCAAGATGACGTGCATTTCGATACTATTTTCTTTAGAACCACGCCCAAGAATTAGGCCTACGTTAAAATTAGGTGCTGCACATAGCATCTACTATCAACTATCCACAGTAGGAACAATTGGTATTGTTAAGTGACAGACATTTCGCTTCAGTACTTCATACTTGTTCGACCATTGGGGGCTATGCTTGAAACCCGTCAGTGACAAGAATGCATCCAATGACATGAATCACAGGTGACACTTTCTTTTTAAATATTTATTTTATTAATACTAATTAGTCATAATAACGATAATAAAGGTGATAACAACAACAATATCAATAGTAATATTTATTTTTAACAATACTAATAATACTAATATGGTATTAATAACGATATTTAAATATCAATTTTGATAATACTAATTAGTGATATTAACGATATTGAAGGTGATAATAGCAATAATACCAGCAATAATAAATTAAAGATTATTTTTATAATAATAGTAATACTAAATAGTAATAATAATAATGGTGATACTTCTAATACTAGGCCTACTTAGTAATAGTAGGGTAATAATATTGATAATAAAGGTGACAACAACAACAACATTTATAATAATAATAATATGAGAAAAACACCAATAAAACACCAATAACAATATTTTTAAAATTACTATTAAAATAATAATACTAAGACCATATATAATAATAATAATAATAATAATAATAATAATAATAATATAAATTTAAAAAATAGATTATCAAGAATTATTTATTATTTATATGGCAACAATAATATCAGCAAAAATTTAAACAATACATAATGTAAATGCTAAGACTAATAATTAATAATAAAACTAACGATAATAAAAACAACAGTAATAATAACAATGACAACGATAATAACAGCAATAATAATAACACTAAGTATAGTATATAATTAAAGAATTAGTATTTTATACTTGATAAGTTACTCCTAAGTGTAGTACCAGTAAATTACTTGTGGCTGAGTTAACTTGTGGCCGAGTTGACTGTAGCCAAACTTTTTGTGGCCGAGTTGGATCGAATTCTACTAGACTAGCGGTCCTACTGTACTAAATACCACACGGAACCACTCGCGACCACACGGGTGCAAAAATGATAAAAATATTACCACACGAGAGTAGAAAACTACTTAATAATCAATAGAAACCAACTTTTAGTACAGTAATTATCCAAAATATGGTAAAAATGATTTTTTTTTTACAGGTTTTTCCGCCGTGCTTCGGAAGGTAATGCGGTGACATTGAGGTTCTGTAACGCATTCACGTCTCCAGAAACACGTTCAACCTTGACCTCTACAACATTCACTACGTACAGTACGTTACATTTCATCCTGCGTGTATGCCTATTGTATGTATAGGCCTATTATTCTACAATAACTGTATTTATTACTGTATCTGCTTTGTATTTTTTATACTTATGTGTTTTGACTCTTACTATTTTAATTTTAGTTTTTTTAAAATTTGTATTGATCCTGTAGTTATGTTATGTTTTAGCCCAGAGACAAATCTAGTTAACTTCTTATGAATAATGTTTTTAAAGATGGTATTTTGAGATGTTTTCTATGAAAATAAATAAATAAATGGCAGTAGTACCACTTTTTGTGTTTCCATGTTAGTAATGGATATAAATGGTAGATAAATAAGAGCACAACACATTATTTTAGAAAAAATAACAAAGGTTAAAATTAGTGACATTAATACGTTTATTACTAAACGAATATCTCGGTCGTCCCTGCAAAAAACCTTCTTTAAACACTTTATTAGCATAAACAATAAGGGCTAGGCCAATACTTTATAAAATAACAAATGGTTTATATACCGTAGCTATACAGAGCTGATGCATGCTAATTAGCAGAGATTACTTATACAATATACTCTACATGAATTTAGGAATTCTGAAATAAGGCCAACAGTACCAGACAAAATAAAATAAATAATAATAATAATAATAATAATAATAATAAAAAAATACAATGATAATACTATACACTACTACTACTACTACTACTACTACTAATAATAATAATAATCGTCCTATAATGTGCATAAACCTCAAATGAGTATATTCGCACAGCAATAATAATAATAATAATAATTAATTTGTGAGTAAATATTTAATATTATATATATATATATATATATTAGATATTCCTGGTCGTAACTCTGTCTCTTATACACATCTTACATCCCATAAGTCCGTGAGATTTCATAGGCCTACCGTAGGTAAACATAGAAAGAGCAATAATAGTAAAACTCGAGCGTCACGACATTGCGAAGTGTCTGCTCTTGTTCCTCGTATCGTACTCACTCGAGTCAATCCGAGATGGCCCGAGTGAAGTTTCATGCAAATGTTTCGTACGGAAAAAAAAATCGCTTCCTGTTCTGCTGTTCACAGGATTGATACCCTAATGGTAAAGTCGAGCGGTCAGGGGTCAAAAGTTTCCAATTTAGCAAGAGGGCGCCATTCATGCCTTATTACAGAATTTTCACGCGTAAATCGCGGAGAACGCTATCTCGTGTTTATAAGATCTTTGCTATTCTTCGTGCCCAACGTACAGGGCGCCCTTCCGTTGCTAAGTATATCCAGACGCAAAAGGCGCCTTCCTTTTCACTAATGGAGGAAAACTTTTTCACTAAGAGTGCGTCAGGCCATGCGATTCTACGCTGTATTGTTGTTTTATTCTTTACTGATTCATGATTATGCTTTAATTGTTTTGTGTATTATTTGGATAATAGCAACGATTTCTACCGCCACCAAGGAGGTTATGTAATCACCGATGTCACTGTCTGGGTGTCTATTCCAGTTTATTTTTATATCTAGTATCTTTGTTGAGAATTGATAATAAAATACGCGACGACTTGGTAACGAAAGTTGGGCACAAGTTTTTTTAGATCCAGCTGTAGGGGGCGTCCCATTTTTCGTATTCCCACCATGCATTTCGGTGGAACACGGTGGAACACTTTTTTTGTGTGGAAAACTCTTTCTTGTATTTCTAGTATCTTTGGATTACCCAAGATTCAGCAAAAGCTTCCTGAAAATGCATTAAAATTTGAAAAAAAACCGTGTTTTTCGCATGTATAGTTTCCCTTTCAGTTCAATTTATAAACCATTTTTTATTGTAATTGTTTGTGTTAATTATTAAAATTAATATTCATGAGGTAATAATACAGATAGAAAATACGCCCTCAGTCGGCCAGTGTTATTCGGCCAGTGTTATCAGTAGATCAGTGATCAAGTTTTATTATGTAATGCATTAATTAGGTAAGATCAATGGCAACGCAAATCACAAATAAACAATTCTGAACCCATGTTTATAGAAATTAACAGTCAATTAACAATTTTATGTGCACTTCGTTGAGTTTTGCTTACTTGAAAGGAGTGACATACTTTGTTACTTCTTAATTATTCCTCTATGACAAAACTATTTAATTTTCTTAGTAAAAATAAAATACCCAAGGATTTGAACGGAATACCCAAGAACCCTAGACCAAGTCAAAATACCCAAGATCTTGGGTAACTACCTAAGCAGTGGTCACACTGGCAACCACATACATGTAAGGAGGAAATCAATTTTTTTTTCTCCAGACAAAAAAAAAACACACATTTTTTGTCAGGGTAGGCCAATGTCCTCTAAAAATTGCACATTTTAGGAATTTGGGATCAATTCTGACGAAATTAGAATTAAAAACACTGGGGGACAAGGGGAAAATATCCATCTTTGGAAAATCTTTCCTCACCCCTTGATAAATGCCCTCTCATATAATGTTAACAATAATATAGGCTAAGTTAGACCTAATCAATTATTGATATAGTAAAGGCAAATATTTACAACATCATTAATACAACACCTTCATGACAGTCCAGCCCTCCAAATCTTGTTTTAATAAATAACTGAATTCACTTCAATGATATATTTTGATCTTTATTCATTATTATTATTATCATTAACTTTTTATTATTATTTATTTATTTATTATTATTATTATTATTATTATTATTATTATTATTATTATTATTATTATTATTATTATTATTATTATGTATTTGCCATTAACATTATCATTGTTTCTCTGGTAGGCATCTTGTACAGGGACACGTTTTTGCCTAAACAGTCTCATTAGTTTTGAGTGAAATAAAATTATAAATTATGAATTACACCAAGGTCATCTATCGATAAAAATATCGATTCGATTAATTAACAGCAGCTTTTCGCACTGTGACAGTACCGATAGAAAACGGCAACTTTTTGGCACTGCGGCAGTGCCGATAGAAAACGGCAGCTTTTTGGCACTGCGGCAGTGCCGATAGAAAACAGCAGCTTTTTTTGGCACTGCGGCAGTACCAAATCGGCACTGCGGCAGTGCCGATAGCCACTACCGTTTCGAGTAGTATCTTTTTGCTGCTTGGATACACAAACATGGTGGATGGCCCAAATTTAGATTGTTTGTGGCTCTTTTATAAATACTAAGGCTTTCACTCATAGGCTTGATTTTGTTGTCTTATGATGTAGTTATTTATTTTGGTGAGCATTGTTTATTTATATTTGATGTTACACTTTACATTAGATTAAGGATATTTAGGCCTAGCCTAGGCCTAGCCCACGCACCCTACTTCTAGGCCTAGGCCAGGTCTAGCCTAGGCCCTAGGCCTAGGCCTTTTTTTTTTTTTTTTGCCAGACTAGCCTAGGCCTAGCTAGCTTGGCTTAGCTAGGGGCTAGGCCTAGAGATTTAAAAACTGCATTGGTAGCAAGCCAAATCTTTGATAGAAAAAGGCCATAACAGAAACTCAATTTACATAAAAGATTTGTTTGTACAATATTTATTTTGATACTCTAGGCCTAGGCCTTGGTTGGTCTTTTAAAGCCCCATTCCCGGCAAAATTTCTGTTTTTAAGAAAAATCTAATTTTTGTATAATGTTATAAAGATTTATAAATATAATACGGAATTGCTAGTTTAACTGAATTTAGACATTCCTAAGAATGAAAAAAATGTAAAATAAGACTGAAATTTGATTTTTTGTGTTCCACACAAAAAACAAATGTGGATGAATTTTTCATTTTTATTTTGCGATAGGTCGTGAGAAGAAATATCGTAGGCGCCGAAAACATTAGCCTATCCAGCGCTGCTAGGCTAGGCCTAGCCTTACCTCGATTTAGGTTCTGTTATCACACATAAAAACAGCCGACATGATATTTTCCATTGCTAGTATCGAAATATAATATTTCATAGGAATTATTTCAAATTTGTTAAAAAAATGATTCTGACTGAGATTTTGACACTTAAACAAACATATCTCAGCCTTAATCGAACCATGGAGGTATTATTGAGAAGGAGATCACTCGGCAAAGCTACGCGCACGCAGCGCTATGCAGATGAACCAAGATCAAAGTTGCCGCAGCGCGTAAAGAACGTTTGCGCGATGCCTTTGAAGCCCCATGTGTTCCCCGCCATCAAAATTTCAACAGGCATAGTTGACCAAAAAATTGAACATGACGAAATGGAGAGCACCTTCTTTTCTCAATGCGCACTACATACTGTCAATCACTATGGCTGCGCAATCTTTTTTATTTTGAAGCTGATACATTCATCCTGTCTCTTATACACATCTAGATGTGTATAAGAGACAGGTATTTAGCTATTAATTGAATATTAGAACTTTAAAAAAAACACAACATTTTTAAAAGTATAGTATATTTCAACTTCAATTTTCATAAATTGGCCTAAATTCGCCCATTCTAATTTTAACAGATATTAATTAATAAATGATTAAGGATTATAATAAACTAAGTCATTTTAGGGTTAACGAGGGTTTAACTATTCGAAAAATGAATCCAAAATCTGAGTATTTTTCAGTTTTACACTGACTTAGCTTTATAGTCGAACCAGTCTATCTTTAGAC